GCTATTTGTGTATGGCCTTTCATCTGCTCTGTCACGCGGCGAAGAAGCAGTTTACGAAACAAGTCACGCTACGACACTAAAATTTTTCGAGGATATCCGCTGACCTTGCACCATTTAAGTTTTTAAATTCAGCTTTGCGTCACGTTTAGGTCTCGCGCTATACGCATTTGAAGTCTCAATTTTGGTCAGTTTTGTGATCAGTTTGAGCAGGAAAGATTCAGTTTTATGAGAGAATGTCATCTGTCCACGCTCGATCCTATATTTTTAAAATGAGCTTTTACTTACGCACAGACACTTCAGATGTTCAGGTTGCAGCAGTAATCAGGCAGTTGAGGAATCAAAAATTTTTTCATTGCTTGGATGCCTTATCGGCGCCAAGGCCTTAATATTTTCTGAAAACGCCTATACCTCTCGTATGCATACGCGGCATGCAAAAGCATCGACTTATGCTGTACGCTAAGATTTCATGCGACCCTAGTCAACGCAGCGCTGCTGTTCCATTCGTTAGATGAAGCCTCTGTCCCATCACATGCAGCAACTGCTCAGACACTGCCAGCATAAGTGAAAATGTTAAACTGTAAAGCAACTACCATTCATAAAGTTAATGATCTGACTACTTCAACGTTTGCACAAAAAAATCTGTTCGCATCATTAAACCTGGCGCATGCCGCTGCTAATTGTGTTTTGCTTATAACGCAGAAACACTCCCCAAGTATACTTTCTGCAGCCCCTGATAACATCTTGCTATATTTTATAATATTTTTAATATCCGAATTTCGAGGGAAAGCACTGGGACTTCAGGGAGCCAAAATCTCAGATCTTTTACAAGTGAAGGACGGAAGTATTAACTTTTCTGGCTACTATTTTATGCTAGCAGTTTGCTGCTGGCGTTTCGACTATTTCAGTTTGCCTTGGCAAATAGTCATTCTGTTTTCGTGCCTGGAATTAATTCTTTTATTCTAAAGTTAGAACGGGTAATTCTTAAAGCAGAAGGCTATTTTTTCCTTTCCTTTTTGTCTGAAACTATCACGGCTTGTCCTCGAGTAGCAGGACTTCAAAAAAAAACCCCCCCATATTTTTCTGTCTCCTGGTACTGAGTTTATTTCCTTCCAGCAGCTCTTCTCATCCTCTAAAGAATTGGAGGAGCAAGTAATATTCGTGGGAAAAGAGCGATAATTGATAACTGAGTTTATTTCAGTTTCGCAGGATGTTGCTTTCTTTGGACCGCGATACTGTAGACGAGGACGATGATGCTCAAAACACGTCTCGCCAACTGTCTTCAACAACAAAGAGTGTAGATAGGAGTTCATCTTTTGATTGAATAGATTTCCATAGCATTTGTCTGACTTGATTTTTATTTTAACGCTGCCACTGGATTGAGTTAGAAGCTAATTTTTCTCTATACTGCCGCTACTCTGAATTGAATTTGATTCGTTGCGTGGCTCCCTTCCCCTATCACCGTCTTTTGCTGCCAAAATTCTTGCTGTAGAAAGCCGATTATGTGAATTTGTTTTTCATGTGTATATTAAGTGTTGAGTACTTGTTGTGGATACTAACTTCATTTTTGCTGAATTGATCACTTTGACATGCTGTTATTATTGTAAAGGCGCCTGTATACTTAAGCGTCTTTCACCATTATTCTTCCAGTGAGGATTTCCGAAGCGGAACTCCCCAAGTATTATCCTGTACTTAAATGTATTTTTCAGGTTTAGTACATCAGAAATTACATAACGCTTCCCCTCCACCTTTTTCTTGAAAGTTTCAACATATAAGCAGTAGGGACATACTGAATGTATGAGCCTTTTATTTCGGTCAGGGGCGAATGTCATTATTCTGTGAAGTAAAAGAAATGGAATTTTGGAAGGGCGAGAAATACAAATTGAATGGTGAAAGAGTCGCGGAGGGGAAGGGTCCCATGCTAATAAATTGTTCACAGCTGCATTTCATAGTCAGGTCCTTAATCTTTACCTTATTCTACTAGTAGTTGTTTGTGATTTCTGCCCTCTTCCCTCCATCCACTGTTCTTGTTAGTTTGAAGTATTACGGCCTAAGAAACTACCTTTTGTTTCATCGTGTATAAGTATAAAACTTTTTCTCATATTTTTATGCGTTTTTGCATATATGCAAATTGCATGTTGGGAAGAGGCTGTGTGCGTGTGTCTCTGTGTTCGCACTTTTAATCACTCACTTTCAACTCGAGAACTAGAAGGCTGAAACTTGGGAGTATGTAACCTAGTATGGAGTATGTGAGCTAGTGACCGCAAAAGGTAGGTGTAAAGCAACAACATGCAGTTAATGGCTTGCGTGCTTCAAGTCCGATGCAAAACCGCATGATCACACGGGCCCGTCCGGTGCGTTCCAGTCTGGGTTTACAAGTGCTCTCCAGACCATAATTGTGGATGGGTAGTTAAGCCTGATCTGGTTGTTATGCTTCCTATAGCAGAAGGGATTTCATGCCTCATTTTTAAGTGGGTTCGATTTTTATGCGTTTTTGCATATGTACAAATGCAAAAATGCATATAGGCAAAAGTTTGTCTGCGTGTTCGTACTTTTCGTCACCTATGTATCGCTGCTATCGCCAAGTACCGGCGCTTTTCTTCCTAAGTCCGCCGCTGTCTCGATCAGCCACTTCTCCTCGAACGCTCTCTTCCGAATCCGCCGCTGTTGCCATGTCCGCGTCTCCTCGAACCGTTTCTTCCGAAAATTGCAAAGGCTCCGGCGACGAACCCATTGTTGATATCCCTACAGTACATTCCCGCCCATCTCACTGGGAGGCGAATATACTGTAATAATCGATCAGCATTATTTCCTTGCATTCGCGACAACCCGCTTTCAACTCGAGGACCAGAAATGCTAGAAAGCTGAGACTTTGGGAGTATATGCCTATCCATATGCGATCCTCCCATTTAAATATCATCCGCGTACACCTGGTGCCGTACAGAGATGCCTTAAAAGACATGCAGATTTCTTGGCTGGAAAGCGATCTCGGGAACCAGATAAGATAGAGAACTGAAACTTCACGCGGATACCCTCTGTGCATTTGTGAAGTTCGTGAAAGATTTAGCGGGAAAATTGTTACGGGTGCATGAAGGATTTAGTAGGAAAATTGCTAGCTCTGTAGGCAGAAGAGCTGAAAGGCTGAAGTTTTAGGGTAGTGCTCCCTGTCCAACTAGAAATTAAATATTTCAGACCCAGCGGCCGAGCATGCTTGGTTCTCACGTATGGGCACTTGAAAGTTTTGGCGAAAAAGTTGCTAGGTTATTTTCAAAGAACAACCGTTGAACGGGGATTGTTCACTTTTATGCAAAATTTCCAATAATTTTCGTCACCGAGCGCAAAAGGTAGGTATAAAACGACAACCATTCATGCAGTAAACAATCAAGTTTGGTACAAAAACGCACGATCACACTAGCAAACCTGATGCATTCCAGCCTAGCTTCTACACTAGGCAGTTATGGTGGGACTTTTGTTAATGTCAAAGCTTGCCCAGAATATTAGATGATTTGTTAAAAAATTGTCAGTGAATGGCCAGTGCATCGAGTATCAACATACAGTATAACTCTTCTCGTCGCGACAACAGTCGTCGTGATGCGCGGTCAACAATTTGTCGAAAATTTAAGCTGTTCCAGAAACAGATCGCTCCAAAAACAGACACACCTGTGTCAATTGCTATACGTCTCGTAAACACGTCGAATGTCAAACTTCGAAGCTAAACCCCAACCTCGTATGTCAGGTTCAAAATTCAAGAGTTGAGGCTTTATAAGTGCCTCACAAGTGCCTCACAGATGCCTCAAAAACAAAGATGTCCGGGGACAATCTTCAACTGCCCGGTCACCCGTCGCGTTGAAGTCGAGAACCATCAAAACCAGAAGCCAGCAAAACTGCGCCACAACTGTTTTGGAGTGGAGATTCTGAAGACCAAGCTCAAACTTGCCACCCCCTGGGCGCGTCTGAGTCAGAAATCGGGGCCCGCGTAGCCACCCCCCAATTGAATTGCTGTCGAGATCGAAGATCGGGGTTAACACATCCGCCTCATATTAGAGCTGATGATTGGGACTCGGAGGCTTACGCGGCCATCCCAGAATCGAATTGAAGTCGAGGTTAAGACAAAATGTCCTAAATCGCGTGCGAAGGGCTCTCTGCTGCGGACCAGCTCCCTCCTCTAACCCGCCTCGCACAGTCCCGAGATCCTTCACGAACTGGTAGTTTGCCCTCCCGGGCAGTCCTTCGAAACATTACTGTAAAATGGTACGTTCAAAGGGGGGGGGGGGGGGGGGGGGGGGG